ACACACGCCTGTGTAAAAGTGCTGGGTTTCTGTGTTAATGCAGGCATTTTTTAATTCGGTTATCAATGACATTCTTGGATAAAAAGTTGATGGCTTTTCCACAAGGGTTTTTTATTTGATTGCTTGAATTATATATGGGTGGAAGTTTTTTGTATACATATTTCCCTTTAAGCTTATTTTTGCATCTTTTTCATTAAATTAATAAAATGAAATTATTCTAAAAACAGCATAAACATGACTATGTATTATTTTATTATCAATTTGGTGGAGGGAGGGAAGCTTTATGCAGTGGATAGATGAGAAAAGTAAAAAGAATCAAAGATGAAATTAATTTAAGGGCAAGGACTATTATATCCTTATGTGCCTTAAGTCTTTTTTCCAGACAAGAAGGAGAAGCACAGAGTAATGGAATGCTGCTACTGACTTCAGCAGAGGTGTTAGATAGCACAGACCCCATTTAAAATCTGTAATTAAATTCATTTCTTGGTATTCCTGTGGCAATTTGAGTTGCTACAATCAAAACAGGATCAAAACTGTGACATGTAAGTGTGAAGAATCGACTCTGATGTGCATCTTATTTTTAGGAAGCAATGGTTTGTTCCCACTCATTATTTTTTGTTTCAGTTTCATTATAGGAGTTCATCCCTGGCTCTCTGTTGATGCCAAACGGCTTTCCAGGTCTATTAAATCTGCTCAGAATCCTTCATCATGCATTTCTTCCTTGACTACTTCCAGGAGAAGGGGAAAAATACTGTTGGGAGCCAAAATCAAAAGGGTTTGTGGGTTGCTTGTGAGTGTAATCCCATTTTGAAAGCAAGGGTTCTGGAAAATTGCAGAAGGCTGGAGAACGATGTCAAACTGACACACAGATGGATGTAAATTTCATTTGCAGATTGTTTCTGCTGATTTTGTTCTGGTTCATATTTTGTCCACAAGTCCTCACCATCATTTGTTACAATTTTAGTGAGAATTAATACTTTTTTCTGCCTTTACAGAAAATTGCTGGGTTGGTTTTTTTTTTCCTTTTACCAGAAGGTAAATGTGAGGCAATAAATTTAAGGCTCTGAAAAGTGTTTATGTGTAGAAGAGGAAAAGGAGGGAGGTTAGGGCATTTTTTAGAAGGTGAATTTAGTGAGGTGAAGCTTGATCAGCCTTGGCAGCTGTGGAAATGGATGTCTCCTATCTTGCATTGGGAGTACACACAACAAGAGTGTAAATGTCATAATCTTCCTTGGTTTTTTGAGGGACCACCTGCAGAGCTGTGATGTTTGTCCAGTTTCCATGCTTTTTTGGACTTTGGCCTCTCTGAGGGTGCCAACAAATGTGTTAACGGCTGTGGTTTTGGTAATGTGGACACCTGTCCAGGACAAAATGAACTGTGATTAGTAATTAATGTCAAATTTGTTGAAGATGTAAGTTCTTCCTTTTCCTCCTTCCTGTCAACAATTTATTTTTTCTTTCCATGGACTGTGCAACCTTGTTGACCACGTCAGGGTTTTCGGACATAACCAAGATGGGTTCTGATTATAAATAATTTATTTTTTCTTTCCATGGACTGTGCAACCTTGTTGACCTCGTCAGGGTTTTCTGGACATAACCAAGATGGGTTCTGATAATAAAATACCCTCAGGCCAGATGTAGTTTTAATTTAGCTTTTAAAAGTGTCCTTGGGGATAATCAAGGAAAATCTAAGAAGTTTTTTCTTCCTTGGCACTTCTCTGATTGTCTCCTTTCTACACAGCTTTTCACCAAAAGCAATTGTAACATGCAGGCCCATGAAGATGATTCTTCCACTGCCATAAACAGTGCTCTGCTTCCTTTAGTGGAACTTAGGGATTCCTAAGAAGAAAAACAAAATGCCAGAGTGATGAACCTACCAAGAACCTTCTAAAACCATACACAATTTAATAAGTGAGAGAGTGTCTTGCAAGATTCCAGAAATGCAAAAATTCTTTTCCTTTGCAGATTGTTCTTATGATTTGATTTAACTATTATACTGGAATAAATATTTATATTTAGACTGTAGACAGAATGCAAACTTAGAATTACTTATAGATGCACTTGATAATACATATACTAAAAATGAAACTTGGGGAGTTAATTTGCTGTGTATTTTCTTGTGCTTCTGCCTTGAAAATGGCTGTAAGCTTTCTTAGTTTTGTACTAACTCTTGGTTTATTCAGGCTGAAAGTGCCAGGCAAAAAAGGGGAAGACTGTGCATATTTTCTTGGTTCTCATTCCAGGCAAAACAAGGAGGCTGAAGTGAACACAGAAATGTTAACCTAACTTTGTTAAAAATCAAAATTAACATGAATTTTTGAGGATTAGTGTAAAGTTTTTTCTTATTTGTTTTTTTTCAGCTTTGAAATATTTTGGTCTCTCTTGAGCCATTCAGAATGTCAGTTTTAAAATCAAGTTGGTATTGTCATTCAGTGAAAATTGTGATTTAAGTGTGTTTTGCTTTTTGGGCGCTTTAGAATCCCCCAGGTGCAGATTGAGAGCACGTTCAAGTTAAAATGTAAACATTTTCCAGAGCTGTAACTCATGCAGTAGGTGTTTGGTGACTTTGAATTACTGGGTACAGTTTGGGTTGGAGCAAAGCCTAGAAGCTGTGCTTGGGTTGTGCTACCACACTGCAACAGAGAGGAAAACAAGGAAGGGGGCAACAAAGATCTCAGTGAACCTGCCCACGTTTTGATCTTCAATAATCTGCTTTCTTTAGAAGCATTTTGAAGTACACCTACCCTTAGTCATGATTGAGTGCTTCACAATGCAGTGCTTAAAAGAGTGGAATATTGAAATATTGACAATTCATTTATTTATGTGTTGGATATACAGCTCACCTCTGTCACCAATCCTTATGAGTGATTTTATCTTCCCACATATCAACTGGGAATATCATACAGAGGACTCAAACAGGTCCAGGAGATTTCTGAGTATGTTGAAGAGAACTTCCTGGCACAGGCGGTCAACTAGGAAAGGTGTCCTCCTAGATTTGTTGTTTATGAGGAACTTGTGGGCAAAGTGATGGCGGGTAGTTGTGTCTTGGTCACGGCGACCTTGAAGGAGCTAAGTTTCAAAAGCTGGTGATAGAAGAGAAGCTGTCAGCAAAACTTGGATCCTGGATGTGTGAAGAGCAGTAGAGGCTGGTTAGTAAAGTCTCTTGGGAATCTGCTCTTGGAGGTACTGGGGAGTCTGAATGCTGGTCACCTTCTCAAAGCCATCTCCTCAGGCAGTTCCAAAGGGTTGGAAGAAGGCCCGAAGACCATCTTGGCTGAGCAGGGATCTTCTAGAACTTGGGGAGGAAAAGGGAGCATGTGGGGGGCTGGGGGACATGGGAGGAGATTCTGTCCCCAAGGTACGGAGAAAATTAGTGCAGCCAAAGCTCAATTGGAGTTCAAGCAGGCCAGCACTGGGAAGGACAATAAAAGGGACTTTTACAAATATGTTCATAGCAAAAGGGGAATCAGAAATAGCATTGGGCCATGGCTTTACGAGATTGGTCACCCCAAAAATAGCCACATAGACAAAGCAGACATTTAATGTCCTCTTCACTTCTGCCTTCAACAACGGTGTGCCCTGGGAAGTCTGGAATTCTGTTGGAAAACCATGAGTGTTGGGGGGGATGATAAAATATCAGTCCACACTGAGTTTGTTTGAGGCTTGCTGCTACAGCTGGATGTGCATAAATCATGGGGCTTGGTGGGATTCATCCCAGGATACTGAAAGATGTGGCAGATGTCATTGTGGGACCTCACTCCATTTATTTTTCAGTGGTCTTGAGAGTCTGGAGAGGTCCCACTAAACTGAAAGCTGGAAAATATTGTCCCAGTTTTCATCCTTGAAAGAAGGAAGTCCCTGGTGATTTCAGACCTGTCAGTCTCATTGCAGTGCCTGGTAAAATTATGGAGAAAGTTGTTTTGGGAGTTATTGAAAAACACTCAAGAGACAACACAGTCATTGATTACAACCAGCACAAGTTCATGGGGGAAAGTCCTGCTTAACCAAGTCAAATTTATCCATAGTAGACTAAGGAAAGTCAGAAAATGTGGGTTTTTTTTTATTTCAGCAAAGCTTTTGATCCAGTCTTTAACTGAATCCTTCTGGATAAATGCTCTAGAGTTGCAGTAAGCAGGGTCACACCAGCCTGGCACTCAGTCACTGGCGGGACCCCAGGGTTCAACTTTACAGCCAGTGCTCTCCATTGTGTTTTTTAAGTGATCAAGACAGAAATCAAATGCACATTAAGTTAGTTTGACAGCTGTACTAGACTGGGGAGAGCTGTGAACTCCCCCAGGTACAGAGGTCTTACAGAGAGATCTGGATAGACCAGAGAGCTGGGCAATCACCAACTGTATGGAAATGCACAAAAGCAAGAGCTTTACTCTCCCCCTGAGATGAGCCTGTCCTGGTTATACACACAAGCTGAGGGACAAGAGGCTGGAGAGCAGTCCTGCATGGGGAGATCTTGGGGTTTTGATGCAAGTTCAGTGTCAGTCAGTGTGCCCTGGCAGCCAGAGGGGTCACCTGTGTCCTGGGGTGCACAGGGATGGAGGGAGGGGATTGCCCCACCCTGCTCTGCACTAGTGCAGCCCCACCTCGAGTCCTGGGGGCAGTTTTGGTGTCTCAATAGAAGAAGGACATCAGAACATGAGAGTGTGTCCAGAGGGGGGCAGCCCAGGTGGGGAAAGGCCTGGAGGGCGAGGAAGTGTCAAAACAAAAGAAGAATAATGTGGCTTTCGCTATGATATACTGATGGAATGGAGCTTAAACCATCTGTTTATTCATGCAAATCACATTCAGGAACTGATCATCTCTCCCTTTTATTTACTGCCTGGCATATGCATACAAAAAATCAACAGATTATGCTAAATCGTTTTTATTGCATCATCTATCTCAACAAGCTCATTTGTATTAGTCCTATGAATAAATTAGATGTGCAAACCGTACTTACAATGAAAAAGCTGAACTCTGATCTCTTCCCCTTTCCACTCTGTTAGGAAATAGTTCTGGTGGTGTTTTTTGGTGCTGAGTACCTGGTCCGGCTGTGGTCTGCAGGCTGCAGGAGTAAATATGTTGGCTTCCAGGGAAGGATCCGGTTTGCCAGGAAGCCAATATCCATCATTGGTAAGTTTTAAACTCTTTTGCAGCCCTCCTGCTTGTTGTAAATAAAAATGCCCACTTCTGCAGGGGCCTTACTGCAGTTCTGAGCTACATCTACCCCTCAAGCATTTATCTGCTTTGTGATTTCTCTTCTTTTGGGTTGCTAGGACACTTAAAATACATCTAAGGCAGACATCAACCTTAGAAAGGCAGGACTGTAAAGTGGAGAAATTACTAAACCTTGGGCAATTGCAGGGAATTGACAAGATTTTGAACACAGAATCCTTCCTTGGGTACAAACAAATTTTTCATCTTCTTCTAGAGCTGGTCTATTTTTGTGATGTAACCATGAGGCCCGTAGGGAATCGTTTTTACTCCTCATTGTGTTCTTGATTTGCCTCTCAATTAATAAGTGGTTCTTATGTTGGTATATTAGAAAAAGTGTGGTCTCATTGAACTGTGTTCTCTCTGCTGGTATTTTGGTACTACCACACTACCACTTATGAAATACAATGTTTGTATTGTGTCCCCTGGGCAAGACACCGTGGGTTTTGTTAAGAAAATCTAAGAGTGACTATAACTGGTTGTTCACTCACAGTGTCAGTACTTCATTTAACCTTCGAAATTTCCCTAAGGATATAATACAGTGGAAATCAAGATTTGCTTTTCCACATCAAATGCAGATGGGACAATGTCTGCACTGACAGAACAAGGTAAACTTAGGAAATACCTTTGCTAGAAATTATTGAATCCTACTGACTCATCCTATTATTTTCAAATCAACATGAATAAAATACAAACACTGGAAAAATAAATTAAATTATTAGAACAGAAAGTAAAACCTAATGCATTCATTTTTATTTCTTCATTAATATGAAAGACTTTATTTTAAATTTTGAAAAAAATTCCACTAAAATTTCTTTGACAGCAGGGAGATTTCTTCTGTGGGATTTTGTTCCCTCTAAAATTTGGATTAGTTCTTAGCAAGTTCAACATGGAAAATCCCAGACTGAGGCAGAAGGAATGTTCTGAGACACACAGGCTCAGCAAAAAGTTGGGAGGTGGATTCTGATACAAAGGTCTGGGAGAAGAACGTTTGAAGAGACTGACAAGCAACCAGGAGCTTGAAGGGAAATCAGCAGGGGCTGGAATTATGTGGTATTGAAGGGTGTCAGAGAAAGGGAAGGATATGCTGAAGATCTAGGCTGTAAAATAAGGCTGTTTGGACCAGTAAATTTGGATTAATAAGGGAAATCTAAGCACTGGAAACTGGGATGAAAACTAGGAACAAAGTAGAAGCAAAATAGAAGAACAGGTTTGGAGAAAAAGAAAGGAAAAGAAATATCTCTACCATGAAGAGCACTTTCAGAAAAGAAGAAAGTGCAAATGAAAAAATATCTTTTACTCTCTATGCTTGGTTGAGCTCATTTTCTAAACATCAGTCTTTTCCACCTTTAGTGCCTGTCTTCAGGTGGATGTGTGCATGTCTGACAATTTAGTCAAGACATGATAAATAATTTGCTAAAGGGCAAAGATCTGTGTTATGATGTGATGGGAAGAAAACCCACCCTAAATTCCTATGTTTACAAATACACATTCACACACACACATGATAAAAGAAAGCATAAAAAAATTTGCAGTCCAGCACTGAAAAACTAAGATTAATCCCAAATAGAAACTCTTTCTCTAGGCTCATCTCTCCCTTTATTCATTTTCATTTTCATTTTCACTTTCATTTTCATTCATGCATAATGAGTGTAGTACAGTATTTTAACTGACTGTGTGCTTTCCCTTGAAGAGCAATCCAGCTTTTACAGCAAAAATCAGGCGACACTGGAAATTAATTCAACTCAGAGAGTGAAGGATGCTGTTGGTTATAGAACTTCTGCAGTATTTGTTGCAGCAACTACATGGTTGTAAATGAGGCAGGAGAACGTTTAGAAGGAGAGGGAGTCAACCTTGTTGAAGGAAACTGTTGTTGCTGCTCAGGTTGTATCCCATCCTGCCTCCTGCCCAGGCATCCCATGGAAAGTTGGTTAAATCAGTTTTCACAAGTAGGTCTCATTTTCTGAATGTCCAAAGGAAGACTTTGAAGTTGGGTTGCAGAGATTCGGAGCCCTCACAGCTGCAAGTGAAGTCAGCAGGGCTGGTGTTTTGAAGTGCTGTATAAAGTTAAGTGCTTTGAAGAATAAAGTACAGCCTGTTTCAAACTGGCAAAGGAAAGTTTACCAAGGTTTTCTTCGTTCTGCCTCCATTTGCTACCCATTTATAATACTATCCTTTATTTTTGGGTTAGAATTTAAAAGGGAAGCATTTAGATGCTCTAAAGAGGTTTACCACAGAAATGCCTGTAAGGAAATAAAAAAAAAAAAAATCTCATAATAATGTTACAGCAAGGTTAAATAATTAAAATAAATGGACATGCTCACTGAACTGGGATGGGGAAAAACAAGGGATGCTGTCACTCTAAATTCACTCTATCATTTGTGTTGTATAAAGCTGGAACTGTGTAAACTGCGAAGTTGTGGAAACAAACCAAAAAAAGAGAAAGAACTCTGAAAGAATTCTGGAAACAATTATTTTTTCATACAAATAAAGACAGCATCACAAAGTAAACTCACAATCCTGATTTGTTTTAGCCAGCCTTTCTTCTGACAGTTCCATTAGGTTTGAAAGCTTGGCTTCACAGCTTTGATGCAGCTTTCATACCAAGTGTATGTGTGTATGTATGCAGGATACTTCATGGATTTCATTATTGCATGATGCAAACCCTTGCATTTCCTCTTGTTTCAGAAGCCTTTAGCCAAAATATGGGTTCATTTCTAGGCTGCACAAATGCCTTTGCATTTTTTTTGGCAAGCAACCTAATCTGTCAGGTTCTTTGAAAGATCTCTTACTGAATTCATCCTTGAAGAAACTGTAACCACTGAGGTTTTGATGTGAAACTATGACATAGATTTAACATGCCCACCAAATTTCAGCTAACAATTTCTTTTTTGAAGTGCTTTCCTTAGTCTGCATTTGTTGTGGTTTTTTCAGTGCTGAGATTAAAAAAAAAAACAAACAAAAAAAACCAAAAAACCAAATTAATACATTCTTTCTTCTTTTGATTGTTTGTTTGTTTGTTTTTTAACAGATCTGATTGTGGTAGTAGCCTCAATTATTGTTCTGAGCATAGGATCTAACGGGCAGGTGTTTGCCACCTCTGCAATAAGGTAAGTTCTCCTGTCACTGCAGCTCTTCACTACCACAGAGGTTATTAGGTGTGTATCTGATTGCCTAATTCCTAATTTAGCAGCATGTCTGATTGCCTAATTCCCAATTTAACTGCATGTCTGATTTTTTTTTACTCCATTGGAGCACTGGGCACTGGGGCACTGGGTGCTCTTGTGCTTGGTGACTGGTTGGGAAACGAGTGCAGGGGCAAGGCAAATGGAAAAATGGTGGGAATGCTGAAGCCAAGTGGAAAAAATGAAACATTGTGTCCTATTTAAAACATCAAACAACTGTCTCTCTGAGACAAGAGAGAATTACAGAGCATGGGTTTATTTAAGAAGTAATCCAGACAGTGCTTAACTCAGTGCTTTTTGAGTATGAGTAATTACTTTGTTTAAAGAGTAATTATGCTTTGGTGGATTTGTTTGGCACGAGTAACTTACACTGTACATGAAGCAGAAACATTTGATGTACACAGTGTTTGTTCAGCTTGTATCAAGTACTGCAGGCTTGTTTTGGGAGGTGAAGTGAGTAAACAGAAGAATGATAAGCAGTAAATGTAAGTCCTACTCCTAATTTAACATCTAAGATGTGCTGCATGTTTTGTCACAAGCCTCTGCTTCCCAGTGCAATGGAATCACTGGGAAGTGGGAATGTCCAGTACTGTCTAAACTGTCCAGGTGTGTAGGCAAACACTGGGGACAACTACATGTACAGAGTGTTTTTAAGGTAATTCTTACAGCAGAACATTCACCCTTACCTGATGGTAAAGACTCCACCCAGGCAGCAGGAATATCAGCTCCTCTAGGAAAAGAGAAAGGTGCATGTGGAAATTTCAAGGGTTGGGGTTTTTTAATTTACTTGTAAGCACAGGAAGGACTTCAGTGAAAAGGCCCTGTGTGTTTATATGTGAGCCCAGTGGGTTTTGGGCTCAGTGAAGCCTTTCCCAGTGCTAAGTCCAGAGTCACTGTCCTACACCTCAGAATGCTCTCTGAACCTTAACCCATATCCCTGCAGTGTTATCATTGCTCCACTGAAAAGCCAGCAGGGTCAGGCAAGTCTGAATTAAAAATCAAATCCTATATCCACAAAAAAATCTTGAAGATTGCTAAAAAGGGTCAAAAATACTTCTAGTGAAAATTTTTCAGGTAGATAAATTCAGTGTTCATCCTTTCCTGCTTTTCACTGCTTTGTTTCAGGAATAAGACAAACTGTAGGCAAAAAAAATTCATTTTCAAATCAGCAACTAAATTAAATGTTTCCATGGAATAAAATTATGCTGAAGAATCATATTGAGAATTACTTTTATTTAGTTGAAAATATTTGGAGCTTATGATTGATTTAGTTATTCTCCTAAAACACATAAGATTCTATCTATTTCCAGTGATATCAGATATTTCAGTAACTCACACAACAAGGATTTTAGTAATTCTGTGTTTGATTCATATTCTGCTTTTGGCAAATAGAGAAAAAGGTTTGCTCACATTTATGTTAGCAAAGCTTGAAGCATTGGTTTTCCCTGGAAAGGAGGCATTTAAAGTTTGGAATCATAGAAATTATACAGGTTTCCCTGATTTTGTTTGTTTTCCTATTAAATAATTGTTTTCATAGCCAATATTTCTGAAGAAATTTGACTATAATGAAATTTGATCCAAACACAGAGATGCCTCAAGCCTGAGATGCCGCCCCAGGCAGGAGCAGTGCTATCACAGTTCTTGAACAGTGTGTTAGTGGACATAATCCATTGTGGGTGGATAAGGCAGTATTGTCCTCAAGCATTTTTATGCGTTTATTGCGTTTATTTTAATCCTTCACTTTCCTCACAGGGGGATTCGCTTTCTCCAGATCCTTCGGATGCTTCACGTTGACCGCCAGGGAGGCACCTGGAGGCTCCTGGGCTCAGTGGTTTTCATCCATCGACAGGTATCTGTTGCGGTGATATTTTCTGAAAAATCTTCTTTGCTCAGGATTTTTCTCCTGAGAAGCTGAGAAGCCTCAGAGTGTGTTTTGTTGCTTTGGAATACAATATCGAGATTGTTTATCCAGGATGTGAATTGATTTTTCTTAATGACCAATCACCATCCAACTGTGTCAGACTCTGAGGAGTCAGTCACGAGTTTTCTTTATCATTCTTGTTAAACCTTCTAATGTATCCTTTCTTTATCTTTAGTATAGTTTTAGTATAGCATTCTTTTAATATAATATAAAATAATATAATAAAATAATAAATCAGCCTTCTGAGAACATGGAGTCAAATTCACTCATCTCCCACCTCGTCCTGCGGACCGCTGTGAACTCAACAGGGACCCAGCCTTTAAACATCCCCTGCACTTCACTGGTTTCTGTGAATCCTCTCTGTGGGCTTCAAATAATGCCCTGGTCTTGATTTGAAAAGACAGGTGTCTGCTAAGGAAGGCAGGAGCCTCTCTTGAAATGGAAAATGTAAACCCTCTCCCTCCAAATTATTGCAATTTTGAAATATAATGGTTCTCAGTCAAAGATACGGGAATGGGAATAACAGTTCTTTACTAGGAAAACTAAAATTACAAATGCAATAGCACAAACAAAAAAACCCACTGACAGAGTCAGAATACAACCTGTCCCCCTGTGCTCAGGGTGTTGGCAGCAGTCCCATTCAATGGTGGCTGCAGCCCTCCTGCAGTGCCAGCTGTGGTTCTGTTGGAGCAGGGATCCTGCAGAAGGGTGGAGTTTTCCTCTGAAGGTCCTGTGGTGGTGTAAATGAGCCTGGTGTTCCTCTGGGAGTCCAGTAGAGAAGAAAGCTGCTCCTCTTGGAATCCAGTGGGAAAAAGGCTGCTCTTGTGTTCTGAGTGTTAGACTATATCCAGGTAGGAATGCTTTGGCTCCTCCCCTGGGTAGAGCATCTCACATTGGGATGATGGAATTTTATCAGTCATGCAGTGACACTCAGTGGCCCATTAACAGAAGATATTTCCCAGAGGGAGGATTGGTTTGTGGAAAACTGCCCAATTAACAGAAGATAACTGCCCCAGCTCTAAAAGACGGCAAATAGAATACACACATATCTTGCAACCCAGGACAGCTGCTTTAAATTAAATGTTACATTGCAAGAGAAAAAAATACTTTGAAAGTCCATCGTGTGTTTCCTCCTCCTTTTAAAACAGGAAGCTATTTTTGCTATTCAGGGCAGTGGCTAACAGGGTATAAACACCAGTGTTTGGGTTTGTTAATTAACTGTTGTACTCTTTGATGTTATCCCTCAATGTAATTTCTTAAATGGAGTTTTGTGGGCTGCCTTTCATATTGCAAGTGCTCTCCACTATCTCTGCAGAAGATGGGTTCCTAGCTTGGTGTTCCTGGGGAAAACCAAACACTTGGGAAAGCATTGCTAGAAGAAGTCAATTATTTAAATATTTCTGTTGTGTTCACCTTGAATACAAAGTTTTGTAATTAATTTGCTAGAAGAAGTCAATTATTTAAATATTTCTGTTGTGTTCACCTTGAATACAAAATTTTGTAATTCATTCTGCAAAGAAATTAAAAAAAAAAACAAACAAAAACTATGTTATGAAGTTGTGTAAGAAAAATTTCTTAATGAGCTTTCTTACAGAAAAATTGTTTCAAAGCTATGTCTGCTAAAGCTTTGAACAATTTTTCTGTATGAAAGCTCATTAAACAGAAAGAGTTTAAAAGTTTTTCTACAGATTTAAAAATATTTCTAATTGAAGGCTTCTTTTTGAGTCTTCATGGAATCTCTTTATTATTAGCTTTATTAATATAATGGAAAATTACATCATTAGCCTTGAAGTCTTGCATCTCATGCCACACTGTGGAGGGCTAATACTCTGCTGTTAATCTCCACATCCCACTTGTTAGGGTGGCTAACGTGTTCTTACAAATGTAGATTTGTTCTCCACATACTGACAAACAGTTACCAATTTCCACACAGACATTTTTTAATTCTCTATTTGGAAAACTGTTTTTCTGGGACAGAGAATGTGCTACATTTAATCCAAGCCAATAATTTAATACTAAAAGTTAATTTTCTTCCTTTTACTTTTTTTTCCCCAGTACAGTAGGAACTTTTATGTCACGATGGCTGTGCAGAAGTGATGCACACCAAAGTGCTGTGGGATAAAGCCTCCTTTTATACTGTACAACAGGATGACTTTTAATGCTCCAAGTCTGTGTGGTCTTCATTTATTATGCTTGCATTGCCTGGGTATCTTGCTAGGGCAGAGCTGATATCCAAATAACTTGATATCCAAAAAAATGTTTGAGAACATTTCTTCCTGTGGGTGTTCAGTTTTAGTCAAGAACCAAGAAATACTCTCTCCAAAATATAACACTTAAATCTTATGTGTCACAAGCATAAGAAAGTTCAATGCTTTAAAAGAGAAAAAAAAAAATCTTGGAAAACAAGTTTATGAGTAAATGCACCTGAAGTTCTGCTTATCCAAAGAAGTGATTATGGTGAAAAATAAAACTCCACAGATCTGTAGTACTTATCCAAGCAGATCACCCACTAACACATTAAGAAAAAAAAAATACCAGGCACACAGTTCTGTATTGACATTGGACAAGTGTAGCTGAAACCCTAACACAGTACCAAACGGAAGGAAAAATGGAACCTTTATTTCTGTCCAGCCTCTGAAAGAAATTTTTGTTTAAAAATATAAAAACCAAAACCAAAACAAAAACACCTCAGCCGCTTTTTCTTCAGAGGCAAAGTACAAAGTCCTCATCTATTTTTGGTTTTTTTTTCGTTTGATACTCTTTCAGAAAACATTGGCCCCTAAACGCTTAAGCAATGTGAGAAAATGAATTCAAATCTTGGTGCCCTGTGAAAATAGCAAGCACTGGTACCTCCCTGGACCCTGAAGAGCTTAGTAAAGTTGTCACCAAGGATTTCCATGTGTTTTGGAATTTTACATATAGCTCAATTAGCTCACTCAGGCCTGCTTTGGCTAGGATGCTCTTCTATTTTCAGCAGGTTGAGCTTATATACCAGCATTTCTTGCCAAAGGCAACAACACGTGAGTCAATATCACATGTGGTAGTGGAAAGCCATGGAGAAATCCTGCAGCTTGATGAGAAGCCAAGTTAGCCACGCAAGCTCCAGCTTGTGAGCCTCTAGGTTGGTTTTACTGCTTCCTCACCTTGCTTTGTGAGGTCTTCCACTCAGGACAGAAGGGATTCTCGTATTTTTTCCCAGTGTTGAACTTCATATTGTGTGGTCCTTATTTTAACTCAAAGTGGAGATACAGCTGAGCCTAAAAAATATGCTGACTCAACTATGGTTGTGTTTGAGGATGAGGGAAGAGATGAGAATCTTGACTCCATGTTTCAGAAGGCTTATTTATTATATTATGATATTATATTATACTAAAATGATATACTAAAACTATACAAAAAAGAATAGAGAAAAAAGGATCCATCAGAAGGCTAGAAAGAAAAATAATGTAATGAATAACAAAATCTTGTGACTGCTCACAGCCTTGACACAGGTGGCTGTGATTGGTCATCAAGAGAAACCAATCCACATGGGCCAATGGAAGATGCACATGTTGCATTCCACAGCAGCAGATAGTTATTGTTTACATTTCTTTCCTGAGGCTCCTCAGCTTCTCAGGAGAAGATCCTATCAAAAGGATTTTCATAAAATATGTCATGGTGACACTCAACTCTCTCAGCATTCAAACTTACCTTTGTGCGTTTCTTGTTCTTACTGTTTCCTGTGTGTGTGAATCTGAAAATCCCTGCTGCAAAGAGCCATTTGTTTTAGGCAGCACTCTTTATTCTTAAGCTCTTATCTAATAAAACCCACATAAATATGTAGTTTTAAGGCGTGATGCCTGCAGAATACCCTTTGTTTTGTGATCATGTCTCATGAAGCATGTGTTAAAAAGCTTCTGACTCTCCCTTAAATGAAGTATGTGTGACATTGCTGCCATTGTTCTTAATAATTAAAGAGTGTCTCTGTACACCTGGAACATTGATTGTGACATTTAGAGTAAGTCCAAGGCAGTTGCATTTTCAATTGGCCTTTATTTAAAAAGAATTCTGTCTTCAGATGAATAGTCTGCAGCTGAGAGGTGCCAGTGGTGAAATAAACTCAGTAGTTCTGTTGATATTTCAGCCACTTTGAAAGGATTTCATAATACTCTACTATTTTCCTGCCTGCTTCCCAAAAAGCCAGCACTTAAACCAGAATTATTCCAATTATCATCTACAGTCAATTGTGTATGTTAACAGAAAGACCTTTTCAAAGCAAGTCATATCTACAAGTACACAGTGCTCCATTATCAAGAGATAAAGGTGAAAAAATAAAGGTGACCAGCAGAGAAACTACTGAAACCCCAGGGTTTATTTCCTTTTTTGGCTGCCTTGTTTAGCAAACAGGCCTGCAAAAAGTTAGGGCTTAATTTAAAAGACTTGGCCATAAGGAAGACAAAATACTATCAAAATTCATTATTTAGGTAATCATTAAATGATTAGAGGAAAAACACCCATTTTTCTTTGTGCCAAGACTACTTAAAGGTTTCCTGAACTCAGATTGTAATTAGTGCTGTAGGAGAAGGAAGAATAGTTATATTTCCTGCTGCTGAATGTTGGTACTTGATACGAGGGCTACCTTTGTCCAGAAAGCTCTTACAGGGAAATGAAAAGAAAGAAAATAAAAAGAAACCTGAGGGAAGTTTGATGATAAAATTGAACCTTCCCTTACCAGCAGTTTAAGAAACATGGGTAGAATATTACAGAAAACCTGTGAAAACCTGACATACTTTAAAAGTAGGGGCAATTCTTCCTAATCAGGTTTTAATTTTAAATGTATCATATGGCAGTATTTTAATTCCGTTATTGGCTGGGACTCAAGGAGAGAGAAATGACTGTCAAGAACTTAAGATGCCACTGAAGATGTAGCACAACATTGTTTCCTGATAAAGATGGCCAAATTTGTGCAAAGAAAATAAAAGAATTATGTGCATGTAAGCTTTAAGTAATTAGAATGAGCTGTTTTCCCTTATAACTAGGTATTGGATTTCCCTGAGGGGCTGGTGGATGTCTCATTTAGCACTGCTTTTAAAATCTTTATGTGGTTTTGCATCTGTGACACCACACATTTTGACTTGTTTAAGTGCACAAGCACTTTATTTTTTTTCCTGAAGACTGTGAGAATCCTGTATCTCAGTCACAGCAGGTCTGACACAACTCTCCTGCCCAAAAATCTTTAGAGAAAATGGTATATTCACAAGGACTGTAACATGCCTCACAGAAGTCTGCCCTAGCCTTGGTCTTCAGGACTGAAAACATGACATCTACCTAGCATATTTTAACATCAGATTTGATTTTAACAAGAAACTGTTGATTATCACCATCCAATCTTAAGCAGTTTAAACATCAGATACACAGGTTCACTGCTCAGGTATGGCCATAATCATGAGACATGGCTGCTGTTTCTCAGTGTGCTTTTCAGAAAGGGCATTTCTGAAGCTGCTTTGCTACTTTTAAAATGTTTAGACAGTTTGTATTTTGAGTAGGCAGTTAAGTGGAGTGATTCCTATTCCATAATTAGGAGAGATGTCCCACTCTACATTTAGCTGCCCTAAGGATCAAGCCCATAATGATGGCTTTTTGAACTATTTAGCCTGGTATGAATAAAATCCAAGTTAATGTTTTAGCTGTTTTACTGGAAGCAAATGTCATACCTGAATTATAACATATTAATTTTTCTACTGTGATGCAAAAACCCCACAGTTTTCTGCAATGTTTTACAATGATGTATATATATATATATCTATATATAGGATGAACCATTTGTTTGTTTTCTCTTTCAATAGGAACTCATAACCACACTGTACATTGGATTCTTGGGATTAATTTTTTCGTCCTACTTTGTTTATCTTGCTGAGAAGGATGCAGTTGATGCGGATGGAAAGACAGGTTTCTCCAGCTATGCTGATGCCCTTTGGTGGGGTGTGGTAAGTGCTCACCAACAAAATGTGTGTGCAAACAGGGCCCAAGGTTTTCTGTTCAAGTTGTGATCTTTTCAGAAAACCCTGGCATTTCTTTCTTTACAGAATGTATTTCTGTAGGGAAGCTTGACAACCTCCTCAGAGAGATACAAGCAAGAATATAAAAAATACAATTAAATTATCGGGGTATTAAATTTTATTGTGAAAGCAGGTTTGCAAGTTCTTAGCAGAGGACACCGAATGCTTACAGATATGAAAAGTAAAAATCATCTCAAAAAGTAAACACATATCAAAAAACTAAAAATCCCCTTCAAAACCTATATCACTGCCTTTAAGCTCTACTTAGTTATCTGCAAAAGGTGCAAAATTTAAAAATTTATTCTAGATGTGAAAGTTGGGTTAATGACCCTATTTTTTTTTTTAATCTTTTTGTGTAAAACTCACTCTCTCAGTAATAATTCAGACCTTGCTGCAGGTTATAGGTTTCTGTTGTTTGGTTTTTATCTTTAAGTTATACAGGGGTATATAAGAGAATAGAGATAGTGCAGAAGGCAGTCACCCCTGAGGAGTTGCAGCTGTACTAATTACCAAAGATTAGGAACAGGGCTGCCCTTAACAGGCCACAGCTGTAACCAATAAAGATGAGTACTATAAAAGAGTGGGTTAGCTGGTTGAGAGACGAGCTGGAGTGTTTTGCTGTGTGGAGGTGCCTATAAGAAATCACTGAGAAGGTATGGAAAATTGGTAATAAGATGACAAAAAAAATTGGATGCTGTATAAGTCTCTACTTTGATGATGTACACAGAATTAAGTGTGTTGGCTGTCCTGTGGGGAGCTGCCCATAAGAGATCACTGAGAAGGTATGGAAAATTGGTAATAAGATGACAAAAAAATTGGATGCTGCATAAGTCTCTACTTTGGTGATGTACACAGAATTATAGACTACATGTAGCCTGAGTCAGTACTCTGTAAGTGGTTCACTATAAAAATATTTTAAACATTAAATTCCTGTCATTAGGTTATTAAGTATTCATTTAATCTGCAATGTGTTGCATATAACTGTGCTAAACAGTACAAAACCAGAAGAATCAAGGGGAAAAAAAGAAAAATCCACTCAATGGCTAGACAGACCTGGTGATCTAAGGTGCAGGGAAGCAATGAAACCATGAACCAAGCTGTAGAGGTATCACTTGTTAAGGTCCTCAGTGGACATGGGATAAAATTTTAAGAATATGAAACCTCATGGTTATAGCAGTGGAGCAGCCTGTAGCTAATGGAGGAAAATAATGAGTGTCTCAGATGTAGAGATTGCTGCGTTTTAAAATCAATCAGGGTATAATTGAAAGATATTCTATGACAGCTTTATGTGAACAAACCAGTACTCTTATTCTCTCTTATTCTTCCATTATTTGAGAAGTTTACCTCAAACACCAGTGGATCACTTTTAGCATCCAGTTATATCCACGTATGTTTATGCTAAAGTAATTTCTGCATGCGATAAAAATTCCATGTGGACCCAGTGTACTCTTCATTCTTCCTACCTTTCCTTGTTTTTTTTTAGCTTGTTTTTCCAAGTTGCTTCATTAGTTGCATTTGAATATTTAGGTATGAGTTAGAAATGCTTCTAATCACTATGAGTTATTGCATTGATATGAGTAAAGAGTAAAAGAATTAAGGTTAGAAAAGTCAGGGTATGTTTCTACAACAGTGTTTTGGACTTTAGGAATTTAAAAGGAGTTATGAAGACCATCAGAGAAGCTGAAAATGCACAGTACCTTGTTGAGATAGATGACTTGGGATCTGTGTTTCAAAGTGTGTGGATGGGAAATGCAGTGTTCAGTGGGTTTTGTTATTTTCCAAAACTTGACTTGCTTTGTGTAGCAGCAAGATAAAATCAGCTCCTCTTTCTCTGGCTATGTGAGGAACACTGTTCAAATTGTTGTTTAAGCTTTTCAGGCATCTAGGCCTTCTCAGCATTTAGTGAGTCACGGTGCAGGTGCAGTTCACAGCTGGGAACAGGAACAAAGGACAAAGTGAATCAGTTTCTTTTTCTTTTCAAATCTTCTGGAACACAGATGTGGAGTTACTAGGGAGTGAAATTTGATTTTTGCTTTTCAAAACTGAGCCATTGGAAAAAAAATCTTGGTACTTGAAAGTCTTATGTGTCTGACAAAAACCACATAGTATATTATGGGGAACATTTTGCTTTGAGGAGAAAGTGCAAGCTTGCTGAACTTGATACAAATGACCTGAAAGGTTTAAATACAGGGAAAAGAGAAAATGAAGAATGAATGAGAGTTGGAATTAATTGCTAACTACATTCACCTGTTTCAGTTAAAGGCAAGATTTTTTTAATCCTAATTGGCAGAGAAACAGGTTAAACTGCAAAGACATATCAAAGGCTTGTGTTTCACATGGAGCCACTGTCAGAAGTTGTAGCATGTGGGGCACGTGTAAAAGCACTTCCAACAGCGTGGTCAGTCTGCCAGAATTGCAGCCCATGTCACAGCAGTTGCCCTGTTCCTTTTGGGTATTTTTTCCTTGAAGAAAGAAGAGCACATAGGAGCCTTCTCTTCTGCTGGCCCTCCTGCTTGCCTCTGCTGCTGGTAATGCTTATTTGCCTTGCTGCAAACCCTATTCTGTACCACTGGACTGGAGTTAAATCCTTGCTCCAGTGAATTGGTGTTAACTGGCACAGGTACTTGGGATCAACTGCTCAGAATTTCCAGCAGTAAATTTCCATGCCAGAGGTAGCAGTTGGAATCCCTTTATATTTAGTGTGGTTTTTTGAGGTGTGCAGTTCTGACTCCTCACACCTGAGGATAGCTGCCTGTCTTTAAACATCTGAGCAGCCCTGTTGACTTCTACTAAATCAGAGTTCTTCCCTTTTTGAGGCATACATATGTGTGTTCAGAGCCTGTGTACACATCTGGAATGTGCCATCATAAATCCCTGTTACAAGACGTGTCATTTTCCAGAGCCCAGCTCTCCAACTTTCTCTGCTCAGAAATACTGATAACTTTGTACAAGTAGAAAAAGATTCTGCTGTGATTAAGACAGCCAGAGAATTACATTATTTGTAATCCTTTCATGTATTCAGTGTGCTAATTAAATTACCAACAAAGAACCCTCTTAAGGTAGCCAGGGAAAGACTTCCTGAGACATGTTCAGGCACCTGCAGGAATCTGCCAGCCAAGTGCCTGCTGTGCAGGTGGAAAATTCATCTTTCCTGTGGTTACAGCTTTCATGCTGTCTTCCATAGTAGAATTTAGGCAGCTCAGCATTATTGCAGTTTGGTTTTAAGTCCTGGGTGCTGGAGAACTTAGTGAAAAAACCAACCAAAACCACTGCAGAAAAACCAAACCACCCCCCCAAAAAAACCAAGAAGCCTTTCATAAGAAAAAAGAGGGGAGAAGAAAGGAAAAAACACTGACTGTGAAGGGTCATCTGGGTACACTGAGGAGCTGAAGTGCTGTTAAAGCAACAGCTTTAACTTCCTCCACTGCCCAGCAATGCATGCTGCATTTCAAAGTTGAATTTTGGAGGGGTCTTATTTAATTCTGGGGTCTGGCAAATTCATTGTCCTGCTGGTAGCACACAGCACCTGAGTCACTTGACCAGCCATGTTAAATCTAGACAAACACCTGGCAAGGCAGAGCTCCTGCTGAGAACAGTTTGCAGTTCAAAAGAACAATATTCATTCAAGGATATAGCTTCTACAAAGTGGTCTTCATCAAGTGGAAAATTCATGATGAATAAACACAAACATAACTATTTTTTTTTTTGGAACTTGGAAAAACTAAGTTTGGTGGTAGTTGCTGATTTTTTTTTTCCTGCAAATCTTTCTTCCAGCTCTCAGAGTAGGAGGGAATATATTCTTCCCATGCCTTTATTGCTTGATAGTTTCTTCTGAGAAGACTATTTTTGCATAACATCTAAGCATTTGTCAGCAAATTTTTCCATAAAAGGCAGCCTCTTTATAGTCAGTGTAAATTTACATATTCTTTTAAGTCTGTTTTGGCTGTGTTTCTGCTACCATTCAAGGCAAAGTGAAGGGAGGGGGACTAGGTTTGGGGCTGGTACATCCAAATAAAAGTACATTTTTTTCTATTTACAGCTCTCCCCAGTGGTTAGTATTGATGACAGAGCTCTTCTGTTCCTCACCAGAAGCTTTTCACTTCTCAGTGATCCAAGCCATGTTTCTCACACCATTTTATGGCAGCATCAGAGCTCTGAGAATGCTGAAAACCCAACACCCCCATAGGCCAGGGTCTCTGTTTTAGACTATGAATTATATATTTAGCCAGTGAATCCTGTCCTGCTGTGACCATGGTGCTGAGGCCCCTGTCAGGTGTGATTCCTGTGGGTTCCTGCTTGGGATCAGCTGATTATCCCCTTCCATTGGGCAGCAGGGCCTCCTTGTTACATCCCAAACCTTTCTGATGGACCAGCCACCACCTGGACCTGCTTCTCCCCCTGCACCAGGTCTGTCCTGACCTCTGGCTCATGATGAATTCTCTTTCATCCTGCTGGGACTCTTCAGGAATAGCCCCAGGCTTCTGTCCCACTCAGGTCCTCCTGCCTCTGGGGCTTTTCAGGGCTGGCCTGCCACCTCTGCAGCAAGTCTGTGCAGAGCCAAGTCTAATTGACCTAATGACCCTGATGAGCATGAGCCCACTGGTGGTGCTCCACGTACACCATTTCAATATTTCAGCACAGGAGAGATTATCTGTAGCTCAATTGCAGCTGTGTCTAAGTATGGGCTCCTTCAATCCTGATTTCCACCCATGAGGTGATGCCCTGCTGTTGTCCTCTCCCTGTAGACTGGCCAGTTGATCCCAATCCTGACTCGTGGCTTGCTGTCAGACCTGCCTCCTTGTCCTTCTGCATTATAATCCAGACCCTGGGGTGGACCTGGCTGCACTTTCTGCTTCTGTTTTGCTTGAAAGGTCCTGGCTCCTGACTGGAGAGGTGCTGCCCTGCTGGCTCTGTTGTCTTCCTGGACTGTGGGCTCCCTTTCCCTGGCCCTGATAAACAATATCAGATCCAAGTTTAAGCACCTTTTGGCTTAGACACAATTTTGAGTGGCCAGGTATTGTTGCAAAGAGTCCCCAGCCAGGGAATAATGTGCTCTGACTCATGATTTCAGAAGGCTGAACAAATGCTTTATTAAGCTATATTATATTATACTAATACTATACTATATTAAAGAGATACTAGAGAAAAACCTGTGACTGTCTCCAGGCAGTCATGACACAGCTTTCACCTAATTGGGCAATCAATCCAAACAACCATCACTGATGTCCAATTAACAAATCACTCTTGGTAAGCAATCCCCGTAACCTATTCCACATGTGCCAAACAGCAGGAGCAGCAAGTAGAGATGAGAATTGTTTTCCTCTCTGAGCTTCTCACTGCCTTCCCTAGGAAAAATTCTGGGAGAGAGAATTATGTTACTCTCTGTTCAGAGAATGTGAATACCACAGCCAGGTCGTGTTTGTGGGGGAGGAAGAAAGCTAAGCACAGGCTTCAGGTGTGTTCAGGTCTAGCTCTACTGGCAGGCTGACTTTGGGAGATAACACATCCTGGAATGGTTGTGTGTTCCTCCTCTTGCTGTGAGGATTCAGTAGGGATGGGTTAGTTCTGTCCTTTTTCACTCCTGTCAGCACAGGTTTCCGTATCCCCAAATCCACACACTTTGTTCACACCTGTCTCCTGATACTTCACTAATTACTTTCCCCTTCCATTCTTTTTTTTCTCATGCTTTTTGGACCAAAAAAGCACTAAAGCAGATGTCTCTTCCTGGTGTAGGTAACAGTCACAACAATTGGCTACGGAGACAAAGTTCCCCAGACATGGATTGGGAAGACAATAGCTTCCTGCTTCTCAGTGTTTGCCATCTCCTTCTTTGCCCTGCCAGCTGTAAGTGGAACTTGAATCTCTTTATTAATGGTGTGTCCACCTCTGTGAATGTCTCTGTCTCCTGTAACCTGTAGATCACAGCAATAAACATGTGCTGTTTATTGAAGTTACACAATTCTGCTGTTGATCTGCTCAGTTTCAGATTTGGAATAAATAGAACTCAGACATTTGAAAATGCATGTTATTAAGTATTTTATTAAATGTCTGTTTATTTCAGGTGCAAAGTACTTTATTTAGATATATGAAGCTATATACCTGTCTGAATAGTAGTTTTGATATTTTGTTAGGGTATTCTGGGATCTGGTTTTGCTCTGAAAGTACAGCAGAAGCAACGTCAGAAGCATTTCAATAGACAAATCCCAGCTGCAGCTTCCCTAATTCAGGTAAGACCACAACAGTAAAATACTAAAATACCTCAGAGTTTATTGGAGAGAAGAATAATGCCTGGAAGTTCAAGTACTGAGAATCACCATTCCTAAATATATTATAGATCTATAACTTGTGTTTAGCCACTTTGTCATTTTAATCCATGTCAGAAAGTAGAGAAAATGAGATAATAGTCTCTCCCTTTCTGGAAGCTGCAGTATACCTGATATTCACAGGCATAATGAGACTAACTGGATGCAGTGAGTATATGTAGTGAAATACTAAAATCATAATAAAAAGTGTTATTATACTTTTTAATTCAGAACTTACTTTTCATGTTCTTTTAGGTCCTGTGCATCTGCCAAATCCTGAAATGGTGAATGTACAAATACATGAAAAAACACACCTGATTTTAGAAAAATCTCCCAGCATAACATCCCATATGATAATATAAAGAATTAAATAGCTCAGTGCACAAATATTCATTGTGGCACAGTGCAGAAAGAAGAAAACACAGCATTCAGTGGGGGATTCACTTTTACAGGGGTTGAGTTTGATTTATTTGGGGTTTTTTTTTTGCTGTGGGTAGAGTCTGATCCCAGCTTGTGGGGGGAGCACACTGAATATCTGTGTGATTTGTGTGTGTGTCCTGGTGCAAATTGCATCCACCGTGGTTGTGCTTTATCAGGAGTGGTGTTTACCTGGACTGAGGGCTTTGTTGTCGCTTGGATTTGCTGCAAAATTTGCCGTGTAGGAGCCCAGTGACTGCTCCTGCACTGAGGTTCTTTGGGTTTCTTTACAGACCCTGTGGCGCTGCTATGCAGCAGAGAAATCCTGCACCTCCACAGCCACCTGGAAGATCTATGTGACAGCTCCCGTGCAAAATCCCAAAAAGTCTCCAGCGCCATCTAGTCCCGGTCTGAGAAAACAGGTGACAGCACTGGCAGGGCTGGCTCTCTGCTTGCTTTTCATTGTTAATTATAATTAACTTGTCAAAAACCTCGTGAAGGGCTTGAGCAGTTTGGACACCCGAAATACATTTATTTTCCTCCTGCCACAGCCCAATTAGTTTTGTTTTCCTTAAAATATTCTTGAGGAAAGAATGTCTTTTAACTGAATTTGCCTTGTTGGTCAGGCAGGTACCAGCTCTCCATTGTTTTATCCCCTTTGGAGTCTCCTACTTTCTCACAGCACAAGGCAATGGTGCCACTTTCCCATTCTGCATTCATTTTTCAAGGTAGTTCATACCAGAAGAAGGAGCAAGCCAGTTAAAAAATCTATGTTCAGGCTTAATATGGGGCTGACAGCAGTTTCTCTGCCCTAAAGTACTCCATGCTGCTTTTTTTTTTCTTTAGAAATTAGTGAAAATTCTGTGGCTGTGAGGGCAGGGGAAAGGGAACTCTGCCCTAAAGTACTCCATGCTGCTTTTTTTTTTCTTTAGAAATTAGTGCAAATTCCGTGGCTGTGAGTGCAGGGAAGGGGGGAGCAGTGTTTGCCTGCAAAGGTGGAATTGCCCACACTCAGTTCTGTGGTGTCATTGCCAAGCTTGCCAGAAGGGCAGAGTCTGCAACAGGTTCAGCTCAGGGACCCAGCCTTTCCCAAAGGATGGTCAAGGCTTGCCTTTGGGCAGTGGCATCCCACTGGACCCTGTTTCCCAGGGAGGAAGGGCTGTACAGTTCCCCCTGGCACATGGAGGAAGCTGAAACAGTCTGATCTGTGTTCTGGGGTTAGTGTGACCTTGCTTTGTCGCAGCTGGAGGCAGGAAAAACAGGAGGAAAGGGGTAAAGCAGAAGTAAGATTCCTGTGTGTGTTGCTGAACAGCAAGCAATCCATGGTTGGAAAGATGGGAAAAGCGTATTTTCCCTCTGTTTTCTCTAGTGTTTTCTCTAACATATTATTTGTCTGAACCTCCCTGTGCCCTGTGAGCCCTCATTTAAGAATGTGGTAGTGGTTCTTTCATCTCTTACCAAAGGATCCTCTTCTCTTGTTCTTTCTTGGTCTGTGACTTCCTATTTTAAGCTCTCAAATACATACTGATAATTTTATGTTCATTGTAGCATTTTGTTCTCCAGAGGACTCCCATTTTCTTTTCCTGCTATAAGAGTATAATATTTGCTTTTAGAAGTATTTTGATGCATATCAGTGCATCCACTGTCCACAACAAATACCTATTTCTGCCATTTTTCCCCCAGTTAATTTTGAATGTGCATTTGTTTAACTTCTGCAGAGCTGAGCAGAAGAAGGAATTCTAAAAGTCTGAATGTAGACCATAACAAAGTGAGAATTGGCATAACTTTAGATCAAGTAGCCTTGTCCCATATGTGAGTATCTTGACCCTGCAGCTCTTTCTGCTGATCCAAACCTTCATTTGTCATTTTGAAGTACCAATTATAGTGTGTTTATTAGGCTGTCTTTGGGCTTCTAAAATCAGGAGAACTGTTTGGAGGCAGGAGGAAGGATTTCTCTTTTCCTGATGTGCCTAATTTAGCCTTTTTGGCAAAGGTGAAGTTTTCTTTAATTGAATATGCTGCACAGGGCCTAGTTCATGGTTCAAAGTCTATGGTTATGCTGAATTTAAACTTTAGAAAGATATTCCTGACAAAGTGATACATGCTGAAGTCATTATTAGAATTTTCTATGCCTTGAGTTTTGGTTCCAATTTGAGAAATTTTACTAATGGCCTGACTTTTCAGAATGTTTTAGTTGCCTTCTTAGAATCAAATTCTTACCAAGTTTTAGTTCATAATTCAGAATCAGACACTTTAAAACCATGAACAAAGGTTGCAGCCCTTTCACTGAATTTCAGTTTCATCCTTTTAAAAAAACAAAACCAAACCAAAGACATCAAGTGAATTCACTGTACAGTGAAGCTCACATGTGCAATTGTCTGTGTTTGATAGCATCTTCTGAGATCATTCAATTCCTTCTCTCACAGACCAGAAGATACAGAAGAAAAGGGAAGCTGGGCTGTGGGAATGGCTCTGCACCCGTAATAAACCCAGGAGAAAATTCCTTGTCTGTTCCCCAGATCACTTATGATCACATTGATGAGCAAGAGGACAAAAAAGATGTGTCCTTCTACATTGATGAACCCAAAGGTAACTTACTTATACTCAGTTTATCATTTCTCAAGAGACAAACTTACAAAGAGTTGATGTTATGAAGGGAAAAGTTCTATGAACAAACAATTTTAAGCTAATCAGTAAATCAAAATGTCTTCAACCAAGGATGGTTGCATAACAAAAGTGGGGGGACATGAATGAAAGATAGTCTTTAAATCATAAGGTGTGTATATCAAAAGAGCTTTCCTTGCTCACTGTCAGTTAGGATGTTGGATATATTGTTCATTCTTCTTTTTTGAGTTATTTTAGAGGTGGATGGAAAGCTTCCTTGGGTCTATTCCACCTTTTAACTTTACGTCCTTTTACCTCCTTCTGAAAGAAGGAGGTAAAAGACCGAGAAAAATATTTCAACTTTTTTTACAGCCCTGTCTTAAACATTGTGCAAACAAATTGTGATAAGAAAAAAAATTACTATTTTTATGCCCACATCAACTAAGGGGTTTTTAATCTTGCTTCATTTAAGATATTGGGTGTTTATATAAGCAATGGTTGTATTTCAGCATGGAAACTGAATTTCACTGCTGAGTTAACATACTTGCTTTGTCTGTAAAATCCTTTCTTTAAAATTAAGTTTTTAATGGACATATGAGTGTTATAATGTGAAATATAAAATGGTATTGTTTACAATAAAAGGAGGTTTTCTGGAAAGCAGATTTTTCCCCTTTTGCATTGATTTTTCTTTGTTTGATGGGGTTGTGACTCTGTTCTAGATCTTCTACATCTTGAACTCGTAATCTGGGTTCTGTTCCATACCCAGAGGCATTTCCAGTGCTTTTAGGGTTCTGGGGGAGGGCATGAAGTGCATGATATTTATAACCAAAGTTTCTGCTTTAACTCCCCATCTCATAACAGAATATTGTGTTCATTCTCAGCATGTTTATTGGGCTGGAACAGCTTCTCTTGCTGACCGTGTGGCAGAGGATTTTGCAGAGTGTATTTTTGGTGTTGTGATGTGATGATGAAGCAGCAAAGTGTTGAGCTGCTGATAACAGTCGTGGAGGCCACGGAGATGCTGGGGACTCTGCTGGCTGCACTCAGCTTTAGTGAACCAACATACACTGGCAGAGTCCTGTGTTCTCTCAATGGTCATAGTCAGGCTCTGTGTCATAGGAAAGAGGGTGATGAGACAAGCCTGTATCTGTTTCTGCCTGACAGGAAAATGAAAGAATTTTCCCCACTTTTTCTGAAAATGTTTTCTTCTTGTACGTTTGTTATGGCTGGTTGGATTTATTCTTATTCTGAGAGACAGCCATGCATATTATTCCCTTACTAATTAAATTTTATCTATTTTTCATTTTCTTTCATGTTTTGCCTTAGCCAGTGTCAGGGTTAAATCACACTCAATTTGATTTTCCTGATTCATTCCTTCTGTTGCAAAGCTTCCAGGAATGCAGCTGGCCAACTCAATTTCTCAATTGACTGAACATTCTTGACACCTCTCAAAAGTTTAAGCCTGATTTCTCTCAGTGAAGTTCTCCTTGCCAGAATTAATAGGCTTCTATTCCTGGAGAGTGGAAGTACTAGGCTTTAAGCCTGTAAATGGGGCTTTTTCCTGTCAAAAAAGCTGAAAGCAGAAAAGGCAGAGAGGATCATCATTCAGAAAAGGTAATTGAAAGGGGCCATGCCAGCTTCTATTTGAGTGTGGCTGTAGTGGAATATTTTATTCATTGCTGGTGGGGGCTGGATGTTTTGAAAACTGCAAGGTTGAATGAGATCACTTTTCTAGGCCTGACCTAGAGGAGCAGAGCTGCTGCTCTAAACCAGCTGTTTGCTGCTTTATACCCAATCTTTGCTGTAGGATGGCCTAAAATGCATGCCTGCCAGGAATAGGCAACACAGTAATAGTCCCACTGATAAAATTCCTTGCTCTGGGCAGAAATAGAAATGTAGTTCAAGTATCCTTGTAAAAGGAGATATTTGCCTTAATTCAGCAATGGCATTATGTGAACACACCTTTTCTCCTGGAAGTAGAATCTTCCTAATTGTTCATGATTCCACATCCACCCATCTTACTCTTGGCTTGCTCAAACCTTCCTTAGGAGGCAGATCTTCCCAAGCTGGGCAAAAATGCTTTCCTTTATTTATATGGAGAAGGTTGGAGAAAAGGGAAACCTTACAAAACAGGGATGATCAACATTAAGGTTTCTGAGAGGGTTCTGTGTGTGTGTAATAAAAACCTCCATGTATTGGATACTGAAACACCTTTATTCACCAAAAATGGTACCGTTTTGAAACAAAAACTTGATAACCTAAAAGAAAAATTATTGCTGACCTCTTTTCTTTGTATGGGGTTTTGGGTGTGGCTGATGAAAAATGATCTGTAGCACCCAGAATTTGTCCATCCTTACAGTAAGGGAAAGGCCAAAAGTCTTCCACAATAATAGTTTCCTTGCTGGAAATCAATCCTCTTGAAATGAAGCTATTAGGAAGAAATTAATAAGGAAAAGCTAAAACAAACAGATTTAGGAAGTTCTATAAAATAAGTGTGATGCTGAGTCATAGAATAGCATTGCATGGAATGGGTTGGAAGGGACCTTAAGGATCAAAGAATCCTGGAATTATTTGGGTTGGAAGGAATCTTGAAGATCATCCAGTCTCATGTTCATGGGCAGGGACACCTTCCACTCTCCCAGGTTGCTCCAAGCCCTGTCCAACCTGGCCTTGAACACTTCCAGGGATGGGGCAGCCACAGCTTGTCTGGGCACCCTGTGCCAAGGCCTGAGCATCTTCACAGGGAAGAATTTCTTCCTGATGTCAAATTAAGTCCTCTTTTAGTTTCAATCCGTTCTCCTTGTCCTATCACTGTTTGCTTGTGTAAAAAGTCCTGCTGCAGTGTTTTCACAAAGTCCTTCAGGTGCTGGAAGGCTGCAGTGAGATCTCCCCAGACCCTTCTCTTCTCCAGGCTGAGCAATCCCATCTCTCTCAGCCTGTCTGTCCAGTCCTTGGAGCATCTTTGTGGCCCTCCAGTGCAGTATTTTTTTATTTTTTTTTATGGATGTCTGTTGCTTCAACTAAGGCCAAAATTCTTCCACAATAATAGTTTCCTTGTTGGAAATCAATCCTCTTGAAATGAAGCTATTAGGAAGAAATTAATAAGGAAAAGCTAAAAGAAACAGAGATTTAGGAAGTTCTATAAAATGAGTGTGATGCTGAGTCATAGAATAGCATTGCATGGAATGGGTTGGAAGGGACCTTAAGCATCAAAGAATCCTGGAATTATTTGGGTTGGAAGGAATCTTGAAGATCATCCAGTCTCATGGCCATGGGCAGGGACACCTTCCACTCTCCCAGGTTGCTCCAAGCCCTGTCCAACCTGGCCTTGAACACTTCCAGGGATGGGGCAGCCACAGCTTGTCTGGGCACCCTGTGCCAAGGCCTGAGCATCTTCACAGGGAAGAATTTCTTCCTGATGTCAAATTAAGTCCTCTTTTAGTTTCAATCCGTTCTCCTTGTCCTATCCCTGTTTGCTTGTGTAAAAAGTCCCTCTGCAGTGTTTTCATGAAGTCCCTTCAGGTGCTGGAAGGCTGCAGTGAGATCTCCCCAGACCCTTCTCTTCTCCAGGCTGAGCAATCCCATCTCTCTCAGCCTGTCTGTCCAGTCCTTGGAGCATCTTTGTGGCCCTCCAGTGCAGTATTTTTTTTTTTTATGGATGTCTGTTGCTTCAACTAAGGAACTATTTCATACCAGGTTGTATGATTTAATATTTTTGTGTAGTGATTGAAAACCCTCAGTCATGTCATCCTTACCTGGGAATATATCCTTAAGTATCCTCTGTATTCCTGAAATTAATCTTTACCTGGACTTTTGCCCATCCTGGTACCTACTTCTCTGCAGCAGGGTCTGTTTTCAGGATGACAAGACAAGTGCAAGCCCTCTGATGTCTTTAATATTCCTGTGAGGTTTAAAAAAGGCACTCAAGTGTGAAGATTGTAGTTAATTAGAAGAGCAAGAGTGAGTGGCAGGTCACAGACACTAATCCATAGAAAAGGGAAACAGCATTTTGGTGTAACTGGCATTTTCTAGGTGCATTTTGAGTTTTCTCTTTAAATATTAGATATTCACCACAATGCATCCTTCACAAAATGAACCAAATGGCTGTTTCATGGTGCTTTTTATTAGGGAGGAAAAATAATAGAAATTTGAAAGTTTTTAGACCTTGAAGGTCAGCCTCCTGGGATAACTCCAGCAATGTATTATTCTCTGTCAGCTGTTGTAGGTTGTATACACAACTCATTATTGTTAGATTTGTCAAAGTCACAAGACTCTCATAGTGATAAATCTCTGCTGGGCTAAAAATAAAATTCCCTGTTTATCACAGTGCTTTTCTGTTTGATTTTTGGAGTTTCTTGTGTGCTGATGTATGCACAGTTTAAAGCAAAACTGCACAAAAGCAAATTTTAACAAGAGAGGGGAAGATACTCCAGTTTTCTCTGACCCCCTTACCTTTGTTCCTGTAATTTAAAATGTGCAGTAGTGTTAATGTTGATTTCTTCTGTCTGTAATGCCAGTTTGGATGCTGAAATTTCAGTGCTTTTCTGTTTGATTTTTGGAGTTTCTTGTGTGCTGATGTATGCACAGTTTAAAGCAAAACTGCACAAAAGCAAATTTTAACAAGAGAGGGGAAGATACTCCAGTTTTCTCTGACCCCCTTACCTTTGTCCCTGTAATTTTAAATGTGCAGTAGTGTTAATTCCTTCTGTCTGTAATGCCAGTTTGGAGGCTGACATTCCAGCATTCACCTGTCTGGAAATGAGCTGGTTTTTCCCAGAGACTGGTTGCATTTTCCATTGGGAAATGGGCTGCTTTCCCTTACTGGTGTAGATGGATTACAGTCTGCAGTACATATAAAGAAGCAAACATTTTAAGTGAAGTGGATTCAGAGAGTCCAGTGCTGACAAGCTGAGAGAAAGGTGAGAAAAAACATGTGGCCAAAATTAACAGAATAAAGCAAACACCAAAGCTTTTGAGAGTCTGCA